GCCGCCACGAGAGGAGGTGGTTGCTACCTGTGCGAGCATCTGGGAGGCGGTGGCAGGGGATGATTGCACAGGAGCGTGGGCCCGGAGGAGAGAGCAAGCTTCTTTCTGCCATTTAGAATCATAGAATAGACTCATAGAATCACTTTGCTTGGAAAAGATCTTTAAGATCGAGTCCAACCTTTAACCTAACCCTGCCATCCCACCACTAAACCCTGTCCCTAAGCACCTCATCTATCCTTCTTTTAAATTTCACAAGAGCTCTCTTAGCTTGTACAGGTAGGAAGGTGTTTGGGGGCTCAGGTCAGGCCTTTACCTGCTCTCTGTCCTCCTCTCCTTCATCCCCCCTCCCCTTCTCTGCCCCCACCTTGCAGCTATCAGGTACTTCATCCCCAGCTTCGGTGGCAAGTCCTACCTGGCCTTCAAGATGATGAAGGCGTACCACACCGTGCGCATCGCCATGGAGTTCAGGACCGTGGAGCTCAGCGGGCTGCTGCTCTACAACGGGCAGAACCACGGCAAGGACTTCATTTCCCTGGCGCTGGTTGGCGGCTTCGTGGAGCTCAGGTGGGTGTCCTCCCCCTCCTCGTGCAGCGTGGAGCAAGCGGAGCAGCCGCTCTTGCCAAAATGGTCCCTGCAGAACACCAGGAGGACGCTGGGCTCGACCTTGCAGGCTAAGAAACAGTAGCACCAAATGGACAAGAAGAGGAGCTTTTTTTTTTCCCCAGTGTAATAGGGATTAGTAATAAGGGGACTCATTCCCCGTGGTGCTTTTCAGCAGAGTTAATTCACTTAGTTCAGTTTGAGTTTTGAAAAGCTAAAAGGTGTGGGAGGTTGATTTTTTGAGCAAGTGAGAGGGTTGGGTTTTTTTTTTTGGCACTGCTTTTGTACTGGAAAAAAAAAATGCAGGCGAGGGGAAAGAATGGGAGAAGGGCCCCAGAAATCTGAGCTGAAATGATTTTCCCAGTTCCAAAAGTCACGGGTGCAGAACGAGGTGAGGTGGCAGGCAGACCTCTGGAGGCTGGAGAGTTTGGACAGGTCCTCAGGCAGGCAGCCCCCATGTCCAGCGGGGATGGCTGGATGCTTCCTGGTCCAGAGCAGGGGAGGGACAGGGGCTCACGAGCGCGCCCAGCTTCTCCCTGGGTGACAGCAGCCCCCGTGCCATGGCGCAGATGTTGCCTCTCCGCAGGGTGGCACAGACAGAGGCCTCCCCCCCTCTTCTGCTCCAGGTTTAACACCGGTTCCGGCACGGGCATCATCACCAGCAAGGTGCGCGTCGAGCCCGGCAAGTGGCACCAGTTAGTGGTGAACCGCAACCGCCGCAGCGGCACGCTGTCGGTCGATGGGGAGCCCCACGTCAGCGGCGAGAGCCCCCCC